GATTCCCTCGACGCACTAATATCAACCCTTCCGGGCCTAAATTATTACGAACTTGTAGTTTAAAACTTAGGGGGAAAGGTCGTCAGTCGGGGAACGAGATTGCAATTTGGGGGGGGGGGGGGGGAAGTGAACCCTGGGTGTGACAAAGTGGCCAGCCCTTTGGGCCCGGGCACCCAAAGCGGGAAATATTCGTGGCCAACGTCCCCCGTGTGTGTTTCCCTGCCTAGAAAAGGGTTGGGGGCAATTTCCACCCGGGGGTGTTTTTTAAACCCGGGGGGCCCCCCGCCCGCAAATCCTTTGGCGACGCCAGGCCCGACGGGCAGAAGACTTGGGCAAGAGCACCATATTCACCCCCTATGTCCCAAACCACGGGGTCAAACACCCCAAAAAAGAGTTGAATCATTTTTTGGTTCTTTATTAAAAAAGTTTTTAAGTATCATCCCTTTCCCAAAAAACCCCCACAGATTTGACGTGCCCCTGGGGTTTTGAATAAATGAAAAATTTAGGAAAAGGGGTTCAGGGGAAAACCCCGGCCCGAGGGCCTTTAACGAAAACATCATGCCCCTTTTCTTTTGTGGGACGAAGGGTTAAAGGGGAAACCGGAGCATAAACAAAGTAGAGCGAAAGGTAAAGGTATCAAAAAGGGGGCCCCAAAGGGGAAAACCAAATAAATAATTTGAGCAACGAGGTGTTTTCTGAAAGTTTTTGGGGTTTTTTAAGGAAGATTCATGGGAATTTTCTGGGGGTAGGAGGGGTCAGGGACCCAGGAGAAATTGAAATTTGCATGACTGGTTTTTTTCTTTTTTCTTTTTTAAAAAAAAAAAAAAAGGGGTATAGCAGGGACAAAACTCCCGAGGATAAAAAAAAAAACAGTAAAACCCACCATAACCCCCGGGGGCTGCTGGCGTGTTGCCCCTCCCTGGAACTCCCCCCCCCACCCCATCCCAAAATGGGGAAAAAGTCACTCTGAGATTTTGGGTTTTTCAGGTTTAAAAATTCCCCCATGATACAAATTTTGATAATTGGGAATTTACCCCAAAATTTTTATGACAGTATTTATGTTGGTTTCCTGTACTAAATAAACCCACCCGGGATAACCGATTCTTTTAGGGACCTCCAGAATGAAAATAAAGGGAGGCTTGCCAATAACAGAATCGGAAGATCGGACACGCCCAAGAAATTTTTATTATAAAACAAGGGGGAGCGCTACACCCCTAGGAATTTTGCAGTGGGGCACACCTGGATTTATTTCCCCTTTTTGGGAGCCACCTCCCGATCTGAGGGCAAAACCCCCCGGAATACTTTTCCCTCATCCACGTAAAAAGCGAGGCGGTCCCCCGGGGGGGGGGCACCGGGGGCCCCCCCCCAACCCCCCCCCGACAATCATTCCCCTTTTACGACAGCATCACAAAAGAGGGCCCAAAGTCGAACGGAACTGATAATTTTTTTTTTCCCCCTTTTGCCTAGTAACTGAAAATTTACTTTAGGTAAATTTACCAAAAAGGGGACCGGGAAAGGAGGATGGGGGAGGGGGGGAGGGGATATGTAGTTCGATCCCGAGGGGAAAAATTAAAAAATTAATTCCTTGAAAAAGGGTTTTTATGGGGAGGCCCTGAAGTAGGTGGGTAGTGAGGTGGGGGGTGGTGTGGTGGTTGTTTTTGGGGGGGGGCAGTGGTGGTGAGGGCGGGTGGGGCGTTGGTGTGGTGGTGGTTGGGCGGGTTGGGTTTTCGTTGGTGGGGTTTGTTTTTGGGTGGTGGTGGTTTGTGGTGGTGGGGAGGGGAAAAAGGGGGAAGTAATAAGGGCCTTTACCCAAACGCTGAGGGTTGAGGGGGCAGTCATATGGTAACAAGGGGAGAGGGGGCCCCGCCCCCGCTTAGGTCTTCCCCCCATCAACTCTCACTCGACACACCAATCTCTTACACACTTCACTGCTCACTCATTTGAGGTAATTATTATTACATTTACGAAGAATCATTCAATCCCGTAGGGGTCATACAACACCAAAGGGATAGCAAGTAATCCGGTTAGGTTTAAGGGAAGGAAAGCTTTTATTCCTTGGATCAAGAGCTCTCCACCAGTATCAAGGCACTCTCATGAAGAGTAATGCCAGTAAACATGGTTGAATCTATCTACTAGTACAAGTGTTTGAAAAAAAGATCTTGACGCCATAACACTGTCATAACATTACCATGTTGATTTTATGCTTTTAATTTGTGTATCTAAATAGTGTGTTGATATTGTAATTTTTCAAACTACTGGGGTGTACGAAAATTATACGTCTGGCAGTGGCACATGTAACTTGGACTATAACAGTGTTAACTGACATAACTCTGTATTAAAACTGAATTCTAAAAAAAAAAATATTGTCCTTGCAATGCACGTCTTTCTGTGCTTGTTATTGACATGTTACATGTCAGTCTGTGAAACAAAGACTTACAAGGATCGACATGCATTTATTCACTGATAATTTTTATTTAAAGATGTGGATGATATGTACTGTGCTGACACGACACAACATGATTGATAAGTTATCACTAAGTTTGTGTAGTTCATTATTCTCTTTGTTTATGTGTGTGTGTGTGTGTGTGTGTGTGTGTGTGTGTGTGTGGTGTGTGTGTGTGTGTGTGTGTGTGTGTGGTGTGTGTGTGTGTGTGGAGGGGGAGGGGGAGGGGGTGACAACTGTGTTGAGTGTTGTAGAGCGCCGAGCTGCGCTGCGCCTCGCCCGGGTATACATAGCTGTACCTCCCCAGAGCTCCTCATCCGGGTATACAAAGCTGTACCTCCCCAGAGCTCCTCATCCGGGTATACAAAGCTGTACCTCACCAGAGCTCCTCGTCCGGGTATACATAACTGTACCTTCCCAGAGTTCCGCCTCGCCCGGGTATACATAGCTGTACCTCCCCAGAGCTCCTCATCCGGGTATACAAAGCTGTACCTTCCCAGAGCTCCTCGTCCGGGTATACAAAGCTGTACCTCACCAGAGCTACTCGTCCGGGTATACAAAGCTGTACCTCACCAGAGCTCCTCGTCCGGGTATACAAAGTTGTACCTCACCAGAGCTACTCGTCCGGGTATACATAACTGTACTTTCCCAGAGTTCCGCCTCACCCGGGCATACATAGCTGTACCTTCCCAGAGCTACTGCTGCACTCTTCATGGTCGTGAAGGTCTCTTCACCTACAGAACTGGGGCTACCTTTCACATTCTTGTCTCAAACTTAATTACTTCCCCTTCCCAGTTGTTGTGTTCCCATCATCTGATTCACTGCTTCCCCGTGATGATAAAAAATAGTAAAAACGAAGTAAAATAAAGTCATTTTTGGTCTCCTTTTCTGACTGACTTGTGCTGTTCATTACTGTTTCAAACATTATTGCTGTTTGGTGAAGTGGTCGTAAAAAGTATATAGTGGATGTCCATAGTTTCTTTTAAGACGAGTTCTCCTTATTATTTACTCTCTCTACATTTTAATACGGCCGCCATACACCAGATATTAAGAATTCTACATTGGTAGTTCTGTACAAATACCGAAGTTTAACCTACTGTCATAATTATTTCTTGAAAGATTTAACAAGTGCTCGTGTGAAGGATAACACTGGTGGTGGAAGAAGCCAGGCGACTTTGTGAGTTACTCTGTGTTACTGACCTTGAACATGTTTAGTGAGATCACCAAGACACAGCAGTATAAAGACACCCACGACCTCCCTCATAACACTCTCTCACACCCCCTCCCTCATAATACTCACCCACAGCCCCTCCGTTATAACCCTCTCCCACAGTAGCTCCCTTATAACCCTCTCCCACAGCCCCTCCCTTATAACCCTCTTCCACAGCACCTCCCTTATAACCCTCTCCCACAGCCCCTCCCTTATAACCCTCTCCCAGCCCCTCCCTTATAACCCTCTCCCACAGCCCCTCCCTTATAACCCTCTCCCACAGCCCCTCCCTTATAACCCTCTCCCACAGCCCCTCCCTTATAACCCTCTCCCACACCCCTACCTCGTAACCCTCTCCCACAATCCCTCCATAACCCTCTCCCACAGCCCCTCCCTTATAACCCTCTCCCACAGCCCCTCCCTCATAACCCTCTCTCACACTCCCTCCCACAGCTCCTTCCTCATAACCCTCTCCCACAGTCCCTCATAACCCTTTCCCACACTTCCTCCCACAGCCCCTCCCTCATAACCCTTTCCCACAGCCCCTCCCTTATAACCCTCTATTACAGCCTCTCCCTCATAACCCTCTCTCACAGCGGCTCCCTTATAACCCTCTCCCACAGCCCCTCCCTTATAATCCTCTCCCACAGCCCCTCCCTCATAACCCTCTCCCCAACCCCTCCCTCATGACCCTCTCCCACACCCCTCCCTCAGAACCCTCTCCCACAATCCCTCCATAACCCTCTCCTACAGCCTCTCCCTTATAATCTTCTCCCACAGCCCCTCCCTTATAATCCTCTCCCACAGCCCCTCCCTTATAATCCTCTCCCACAGCCCCTCCCTCATAACCCTCTCCCACAGCCCCTCCCGCAGCTCCTTCCTAACCCTCTCCCACAGTCCCTCATAACCCTCTCCCACAGCCCTCCCTTATAACCCTCTCCCACAGCCCTCCCTTATAACCCTCTCCCATAGCCCCTCCATTATAACCCTCTCCCACAGCCCCTCCCTTATAATCCTCTCCCACAGCCCCTCCCTCATAACCCTCTCCCACACTCCCTCCCGCAGCTCCTTCCTCATAACCCTCTCCCACAGTCCCTCATAACCCTCTCCCACAGTCCCTCATAACCCTCTCCCACAACATCCCCCTTATAACCCTCTCCCACAGCCCCTCCCTCATAACACTCTCCTACACCTCTCCCTCATAACCCTCTCCCACAGCCCCTCCCTTATAACTCTCCCACAGCCCCTCCCTTATAACCCTCTCCCACAGCCCCTCCTTATAACTCTCCCACAGCCCCTCCTTATAACCCTCTCGCACAGCCCCTCCCTTATAACCCTCTCCCACAGCCCCTCCCTTATAACCCTCTCCCACAGCCCCTCCCTTATAATCCTCTCCCACAGCCCCTACCTTATAACCGTCTCCCTCATGCCCTCCCTCATAACCCTCTTCAATACCTCTCCCACAGCCACTCCCTTATTACCCTTTTCCACAGCCCCTCCCTTAAAACCCCTTCCTGCTGACCTTTCATCCTAAATTTAAAGGCTAACTTGCCACCCTCTAATATTCACTTGTCTCTCTTTAAAGGCTAACTTGCCACCTTAAAAAACTGACTTGTGATCATTCAGGTCCTGAAAAAGCGACTTACCAGTGACAGGAAAAACTTTCTAAAGAAAATCACACTTTCGACCAGAAAAAAAAAATCTCATTTTTAATTGCCAAAATAAAGTATAATGCATTAGAACACGCCACTCACCTTTTGTAATGGCTTAAAGTTGATGGCTAAACAAGGCAAATAGTATTAAAAGATATTTCTGATAGTTCCTGAGTGTAATGAATACCAGAGAGAGAAACTCACATGAAACAAAAACAACGAAGAATGGTAGTCTGTATATTCTGACCTCCAACTGGGGTCCTCTTCATGTTTCTGATCTTTAGCTACCTTTATACAATGATACATAACATGACATACATATTGAAGACAATATGTAAATTATTACAAGGTTATGTTAGGTTAAGCAAGGTCAATTTAGGTTTCGTAGTTAGTCTATGGTAGGTCGAACTTTGTTCGGGTAGGTTAGGTCGGTTGAAAATGTGACTTCTAAATATCATGTGATCAGAGGTCATAGTGGCCTGACTTCCTTTAAACATAATTTTATAACATTTTTCCTAGATTAAATTCGTTAGCCTTCAGAGGCTGACATACCAGTCATTAGAGATTGATTTTCAGACTTTAGAGGTTGACTTGTCACTCATTAGAGGCCAGCTTGCCAGTTTCAGAAGCGTCCTTGCCAGCTTTTAGAGGATGACTTTCCAGCCTTTAGGTGCTGACTTATCTACTGAAACGCAAAGTATGTGTTAAAGTTCACACCGCAGCGGATATCAGTTTCTCGTGATATATAGAACAATTAATGACTTTTGGGTGACTAACACAGGCGCGGGGTAGCTACAGGAATTTTATGGCTCAGGATGGAGGAGGCGGAGATGGGATGCTGCGTGTGTCAGGAGAGGTACGACGAGACGCGCACCCCGAGGAACCTGGGGTGTGGCCATTCCGTGTGCACGCCCTGTGTCCAGGAGATCATTAATAGGAACCGGAAATGCCCCGAGTGTCGCCGACCTTTCTACGCCACGATGGCTTCGGCACTTCCCGTTAACTACCCACTTCTTAGACTCTCTAGGACTTTGGCTGCTCTGAGTCTTCAGCAAGGGCAACAGGCAGCTGCGGGCCCCTCCACAAGCAGCACACGCAGCCCTAGAAAGGCAGACGCTGGGGAGTGTGCTGCTCATGTGTCACGACTGGTGATGCGCTGCATGCCATGCAAGGTGTGGGTGTGCAAGGAGTGTCTAGTGATGGATCACGTCGTCCCTCCAGATGGTAACTGTCTCATCTTACCCGTCGATCAAGCTCTAGAGGAAATGAAGAAGAGTCATATGGAGATCATATCCACCATGTACCTCACACTGCAGGGGCTCAAAAATGAGGTAGCTAACGAAATTGCTCAACTGGAGAACAACAAAAGCCTGCATGATGACACAGTTTCCAGTCTTCGGCAGATTTTACAAGGTGAGCTTGACGTTATTCAAGAAGTGGAGGCGAAGAAGAAAGAAGCGACAGACAAGATGTCTGAAGTTGACAGCTGGGTGGAGTCACTGAAGGAGGCAGAGGCTGGCATCCTGAAAGCGGCGACGGTGAGGGAACTGGCCAACGCCAAACTTGCAGCAAGAGACTGTCTGGCCAACGTGGAGACTCAGGTGCAACGAGAGAAGCAACGACAGACATCTGTCAACATGACTGTGCCACAGTTCGGCCCTCAGGTGAGTGCCACATTATGTGAGTCATCACGGGTTTAGAGCACTTTCCATGTTACTGTAGATGCTCACTTGTAACAGTTCGATAGAATTATCTCCAAAATTTGAGTATCTCATATATTGTGTTCATAACAGTGTAACACGGTACATAACTACTGATAGACACATGCTGAAAACTGACTGTTTTATTTTAGAACTTGCGAGGAGTGTTACAGATGGTCAAGATGATGTATGTAGTGGATGAGAGTAATGGTGAGAGGAAGTGGGCGAGGGTGAGTGTACATGACTGCCTTCTACATCTGCACGTCCTAACTCACAACCCACCACCACCAACTTCACTCATTTTCTCCGTAAGTTACCTTCATTATGTGATCACTAACATATACTCTTAAGATACTTTGATAAAAAAAAATTTTTGTCTGATTTAGGAGGTTCCGGGGATTTTATACAAGATCTTACACCGACCATTCTCCCTAGCACAAGAAACCTGCTTATATAAGATCATCTTCCCTGCCGAGCATCACATAAAGATCCATATAAACTTTTTTTTTTTTTTACATCATTTCTGCCTACATGTGGGTTTTAATCAGTATATTTACAAGTGCCCATTACACTTTCACGTTTCTTCACCGTGCATATGCATGCGGATGGATTTATGAAGGATGAGGTTAATCATAGAACTGATGAGGGAAAAAAGGCGAGTGGTGCGTTGAGGTATATGTGGAGACAAAAAAACGTTATCTATGGAGGCGAAAAAGGGAATGTATGAAAGTATAGTAGTACCAACACTCTTATATGGGTGTGAAGCTTGGGTTGTATATGCTGCAGCGAGGAGGCGGTTGGAGGCAGTGCAGATGTCCTGTCTAAGGGCAATGTGTGGTGTGAATATTATGCAGAAAATTCGGAGTGTGGAAATTAGGAGAAAGTGTGGAATTAATAAAAGTTAGTCAGAGGGCTGAAGAGGGGTTGTTGAGATGGTTTGGTCATTTAGAGAGAATGGATCAAAGTAGAATGACATGGAGAGCGTATAAATCTGTAGGGGAAGAAAGGCGGGGTAGGGGTCGTCCTCGAAAAGGTTGGAGGGAGGGGGTAAAGGAGGTTTTGTGGGCGAGGGGCTTGGACTTCCAGCAAGCGTGCGTGAGTGTGTTAGATAGGAGTGAATAGAGACGAATGGTATTTGGGACCTGACGATCTGTTGGAGTGTGAGCAGGGTAATATTTAGTGAAAGGATTCAGGGAAACCGGTTATTTTCATATAGTCGGACTTGAGTCCTGGAAATGGGAAGTACAATGCCTGCACTTTAAAGGAGGGGTTTGGGATATTGGCAGTTTGGAGAGATATGTTGTGTAAGATCACCACCCATCTAGAAACCCATCAGTTACACAACCCAGGGCAACATGGGTTTAGAACAGGTCGCTCCTGTCTGTCTCAGCTATTGGATCACTACGACAAGGTCTTAGATGCACTAGAAGACATAAAGAATGCAGATGTAATATATACAGACTTTGCAAAAGCCTTCGACAAGTGTGACCATGGCGTAATAGCGCACAAAATGCGTGCTAAAGGAATAAGAGGAAAAGTCGGTCGATGGATCTATAATTTTCTCACTAATAGAACACAGAGAGTAGTAGTCAACAGAGTAAAGTCCGAGGCAGCTACGGTGAAAAGCTCTGTTCCACAAGGCACAGTACTCGCTCCCAACTTGCTCCTCATCCTCATATCTGACATAGACAAGGATGTCAGCCACAGCACCGTGTCTTCCTTTGCAGATGACACCCGAATCTGCATGACAGTGTCTTCCATTGCAGACACTGCAAGGCTCCAGGCGGACATCAACCAAATCTTTCAGTGGGCTGCAGAAAACAATATGAAGTTCAACGATGAGAAATTTCAATTACTCAGATATGGTAAACACGAGGAAATTAAATCTTCATCAGAGTATAAAACAAATTCTGGCCACAAAATAGAGCGAAACACCAACGTCAAAGACCTGGGAGTGATCATGTCGGAGGATCTCACCTTCAAGGACCATAACATTGTATTAATCGCATCTGCTAGAAAAATGACAGGATGGATAATGAGAACCTTCAAAACTAGGGAGGCCAAGCCCATGATGACACTCTTCAGGTCACTTGTTCTATCTAGGCTGAATATTGCTGCACACTAACAGCACCTTTCAAGGCAGGTGAAATTGCTGACCTAGAAAATGTACAGAGAACCTTCACGACGCGCATAACGGAGATAAAACACCTCAATTACTGGGAGCGCTTGAGGTTCCTAAACCTGTATTCCCTGGGACGCAGGCAGGAGAGATACATGATTATATACACCTGGAAAATCCTAGAGGGACTAGTACCGAACTTGCACACGAAAATCACTCACTACGAAAGCAAAAGACTTGGCAGACGATGCAACATCCCTTCAATGAAAAGCAGGGGTGTCACTAGCACATTAAGAGACCATACAGTAAGTGTCAGGGGCCCGAGACTGTTCAACTGCCTCCCAGCATACATAAGGGGGATTACCAACAGACCCCTGGCAGTCTTCAAGCTGGCACTGGACAAGCACCTAAAGTCGGTTCCTGATCAGGCGGGCTGTGGCTCGTACGTTGGTTTGCGTGCAGCCAGCAGTAACAGCCTGGTTGATCAGGCTCTGATCCACCAGGAGGCCTGGTCACAGACCGGGCCGCGGGGGGCGTTGACCCCCGGAACTCTCTCCAGGTAAACTCCAGGTATCTTTATACGTATATGCTTCTAAACTGTTGTGTTCTGAGCATCTCTGCAAAAACAATGATTATGTGTGAGTGATGTGAAAGTGTTGAATGATGAAAGTATTTTCTTCTTGGGGATTTTCTTTCTTTTTTGGGTCACCCTGCATGGGTCGGAGACGGCCGACTTGTTAATATATATATATATATATATATATATATATATATATATATATAATTATATATATATATATATATATATATTTATATATATATATATAATGTCGTGCCGAATATGTAAAAACTGGTCAATTAGCAAGAACTCATTTAAAATTAAGTCTTTTCTAAAATTTTCTCTTATACGTTTAAAGATATATTTTTTTCATTAATGTTAATGTAAAAATTTCTAATTTTGCACCAAAAGAATCTTAGAAAACTTACCTAACCTTATTATAACAAGAAAAAATTTATTTTAGCCTAACCCAACTAAAATATATTTTATATTTGTTTACAATAATTTTTAATACTAAACAAACACAGTGAAAAATATTTTTTTTCGTTAGGTTCAGAATGATTTTGGCGAAATTATTACATAAAACAAATTTTCGCTTGTCCTATATGGCAAGATGAGCGTTGCTATTTAAGCCAAGATCGCAAGTTCTGCCTATTCGGCACGACATATATATATATATATATATATATATATAATATATATATATATATAAATATATATATATATATAAGGAGAGAAAAAGTTAGCATATGAGAAGTTTTTACAAAGTAGAAGTGATGCAAGGAGGGAAGAGTATATGGAGAAAAAGAGAGAGGTTAAGAGAGGTTGAAGCAATGTAAAAAAAGAGAGCAAATGAGAGAGTGGGTGAGACGTTATCAGCAAATTTTGTTGAAAATAAGAAAAAGTTTTTGGAGTGAGATTAACAAGTTAAGGAAGCCTAGAGAACAAATGGATTTTTTCAGTTAAAAATAGGAGAGGAGAGTTATTAAATGGAGAGTTAGAGGTATTGGGAAGATGGAGGGAATATTTTGAGGAATTGTTAAAAATGTTAAATGAAGATAGGGAAGCTGTGATTTCGGTATAGGAACAAGGAGGAATAAAAACCCTTGTAGGAGTGGGAAGAGCCTTTTTGGAAATGGGGGGGAATTCGTGAGGCAGTGGGGTAGAATAAAGGGGGAAAGGGCACCCGGGTTTGATGGAAAAAAGATGAAATTTAAAAGCAGGGGGATATTGTTTTGGAGTGGTTGGTGCAATTATTTAATAAATGTATGGAAAGGTAAGGTACCTAGGGATTGGCAGAGAGCATAAAAATTTTCCCTTTGTATAAAGGAAAAGGGGGATAAAAGAGAGTGAAAAAAATTAAGGGGGATAAGTCTGCTAGTAAAACCTGGTAAAAGGGGTGTGGTAGATTTATTTTTGAAAAAATTTAAGAGTAAGACAAAGAATGGGATACAGATGAACAAGGGGGCTTTAGGAAAGGTAGGGTGTGTGGGGGACCAGGTTTTAAAATGAAACATATAAGTAAACCATATTTAGATAAGGCTAAAAAAGGTTTTTTTGGGCTTTTAATGGTTTTGGAAAAAGGGCGTATGACGGGGGTAAAAGGGGGGGCCCAAATGTGGCAGATTTTCAAGTGTATGGTGAAAGGAGGTAGGTTACTAAAAACAGGGGAAGAGTTTTTACGAGGATGTGAGGCTCAATTTAGATATGTAGGAAAGAGGGAAATTATTTCCCAGTAAAAGGGCCTAGACAAGGGTGGTTTATGTCACCGTGGTTTTTAATATATTTATAGATGAGGTTGTAAGAGAAGGGAAATTTCGAGGTGTGGGGTTTTAAAAAGATAAAGAATCACACACAAAGTGGGAATTTTTTACAGCTGCTCTTTGCGGAAAGACATGTCCTTTTTGGGGATTCGAAGAGAAGTTGCAGAGATTGATGGAGAATTTTGGGAGGGTGGGGAAAAGAAAAAAAAAAGGGGAATACAAGGGAAAAAGTAAGGTTATGAGGATAACAAAAAGATTAGGGGAAAGAAAGATTGAATATCAGATTGGAGGGGGGGGAAATATGGAGGAGGGGAATGATTCAGAATTTTTGGGGGTGGACGTTTTCAGCGGATGGGGCATGAAAGAGAGGTGAATCATAGAAAATTTTATGAGGGGGAAAAAGTGATGGGTTTCACTTTGGGGGCTGTGGAACAAAGAACTTTGTCCTTGGAGGGAAAGAGGGGATGTATGGGGTAAAGTTTTAAAACCCCCCCCCTTATATGGGGTGAAGCATGGGTTTAGGGTTTTTGCAGGGGGAGAAGAAGCTGGAGGGAGTGGAAGATGTCATGTCTGAGGGCAATGTGTTGGGGTGAATATAAGCAAGGGAATTTTTTAGTTTGGAAAATTAGGGGGGAGGTGCGGGGTTACCAAAACTGTTGTCCAAGGGCTGAGGGAAAGGGGTTTTTTGAGGTGGTTTTGGACATGTGAGAGAATGGAGGGGAAAAAGAATGAAATTTAAGAGTGTAAACAGTCCCGTAGTGGAAGGAAGGCGGGGGAGGGGTCGGCCCCAGAAAGGGTTTGGGGGGGAGGGGGGAAAGGGGGGTTTTGTGTGCGAGGGGGGGTTGGGCTTTCCGGGGGGGCATGCTGAGCGGTTTTTTAATAAAAATTTTTTGGGCGTGCTTGTTGGAG